CAAATTCTCTTTGGTCTCTCCTTGTGGTTCTCTGGGACAAACATGGAGCCCTGTGACATTAGTACACCTGAAATGCCAGTAGCGGCTCCTGATGTCCTTACCATGGAGGTGACGCTTGAAGAAACTCTGGTTTGGAAGTACAAGTATGTGTGTTGGGCTGAGGCTGTAGCTCAGTGTTAGAGCACTTGCCTAGTAAGCCTGAAGTTCCACGCCTCAACACCTCAAAAGCAAAACAACACAAAGCAATACGAACGTGCATGTGCGCATGCATGTATGCACACACCTGCTTTACACCCAGTTCTTGAGTTAGTCAGCTGGTCGTTTTCATTCTTTCCCGAGTCGTGCCAGGGTTCAAGGTATTTAGGTCAGTGAGCAGTTGCGTCTAGTGGTTGACAGGGAGGTGTACAGCATGTTTGTTTTTCAGAAGGCTTTGCTTGCCTTTGTTAAGTGAAATCAGACTTACAATTGACCTTTCCAGGTGAAGAAGAGTGGGGTGTGTTTTGCAAGTGATGGAAACAAATAAAACCAGGACCCTGTCTGTGGTGTTCAGAAACTCTTATTATAATTTCAGTGATTAAATAATGTGCTTGACAATTGCATTTAAAATTATGCTTAAGGCTCATTGCAAAATGCGGAGACAGTGCTTTGGGACACGAGGGGGAGATTAATTAGGATTCTTTTCAACCCCATGATGTACTATGTCATCCATAAACAAAGAACTGATTATTATCATGTGTGGATTATCTTTATAAAGTTTGGCATTATATCTTTGAGGAGAGATTCAAATTGCTGTTGATTGACAATTTACTGGATAAGTAAGATCATATTATCCTAATACTTTAATATATTTTCTTTAAATGTTGTGATTCTTTTTCTCTCACTAAAGATTAAGTTTATGCCACTAAGTAGAATTTAATCTGTCAGTAATTTAAATAATCATAAAATGCTTAGAAACAAATACAGTGCAGCTAATACACTGCTAAAATTTCCCATTGGTTTGTTTTCTGTTTGCAAGTATCAATTTTGCCAGTTGTACGAGCATTAAATATTTGTCATTAAACCTCACAAGACATAAAAGAGGAAATCGTTTATATAAGTGTGTCACCTAGTGTCTCTTTTTCTCCGTGTTTGAATAGCTCATGCTTTGACAATGAACTTATAAAGCCTATAAGGACAACAAAAGTTCATATTTTGCAGAAACTAATGGGTATTAAATGGCTGAAGTATAGAAGTACACCTAAATATTGGTTTCCCCATATATACAGTGCCAGTATGGCTCTTCAAGGTTGGATAAAGAGTGACTTTCTTTTTCTTTTTTCAGTTTTAAAGAATTTATTTTCCCATTTATGGAGTAACATTATGGTACAGTCCATAGTTATTGCAACACCTGCATTGCCTAAAGAACACCTAAGAATTTTGTTAAAGCAGGTTTAAGAAAATCTGAGTGAAAGTGATGTATATTTTATGTCTAAGCATAATGTCATTAAAGCCCATGCAGTGCCCTCTGCGTAAATCAGTGTGGTGTTACAATATGCCTGATCTGATTCTCACCCTAACGGCTTCTGACCACGGATGATAACCAAGATAGATTCAGTGCCTTTAACGCCAGACTGCAGCAACAGTTAGGGCCCTAAACAAAAGAAGTGCAGCAGGACAGGAGCCTGACAGTGCAGCTGTTTGCAGCAGCTGCTTGGAGAGGCTGTCCTTCCTCAACTCTGGAGTCATGCCTCCTCTTCAGAGGAGTCTTTCATGGGAGCTCCATGGGTCATGCTTCCGTTTTTCTTTCTGGTACTTCTTTGTCAACCTCCACACACGTAGTACCAGAATTAGGAGTTAAGAACCTTGGTTCTAGTAACAGCTTTTCCATTCGACCACAGGCCTTGTGCACCTGTTTTTCATTCTAGTGCCAATCTAGTTGTGGCTTTCAAAGCATCCTCAGTGACATTCAGTTGACACCTGTCCACGAAGTAGGAGTAACAGCATTACGTGGCGTGGCTCAGTATTAGTGCAAGCGTTTGCTCATCTAGGCTACTCCAAGAGCCCACCACAGGCAGCTGTCCCACAAACTCAGGAATCCTGCCAAATCCAGTGAGAGCTCTGGTTTCCACGTGACGTAATAACACATCTTTTTCTTCACTGTCTTTTTTTTTTTTTGAAGTGAATATTGATATATATTTTTTTCATTTTTCTTTTATTATTCATATGTGCATACAAGGCTTGGTTCATTTCTCCCCCCTGCCCCCACCCCCTCCCTTACCACCCACTCCGCCCCCTCCCTCTCCCCCCCACCCCCTCAATACCCAGCAGAAACTATTTTGCCCTTATTTCTAATTTTGTTGTAGAGTATAAGCAATAATAGGAAGGAACAAGGGTTTTTGCTGGTTGAGATAAGGATAGCTATACAGGGCATTGACTCACATTGATTTCCTGTGCGTGTGTGTTACCTTCTAGGTTAATTCTTTTTGATCTAATCTTTTCTCTAGTTCCTGGTCCCCTTTTCCTATTGGCCTCAGTTGCTTTAAGGTATCTGCTTTAGTTTCTCTGCGTTAAGGGCAACAAATGCTAGCTAGTTTTTTAGGTGTCTTACCTATCCTCACCCCTTCTTGATGAGTATTTGGTTCTCCACTTGGATTAGCAAGGTCGGCAGCAGCTGCACCCGTCTGCTGCTCCCTGATTAGGTGGTGTTCCAAATCCAAGGTACTGATGATTCTGTCTAAGCCATTAAAAGCACCAGATGCAACAAACAGGGGATCTGTTGTACCAACTTGTACTATTTCTCTGTGCAGCTCTCGGGATTCTTTTTCTGGAACGTTGACTGCATAGTGCTTTCTAGTAGTTTTAATAAGCCTTCCCTTTGCTTTTCCTAACTCCTAATTGGCATGTTGGAGCAGTTTGACAATCACAGATTCCATATCTTTGCCTGCATATCTAGCCTGAGTCAACGTCATATGTCACGGGTAGCAAGAGGAACATGAAACCATATAGCTGAAGTTCATGCCAATAGGGTTTACCTGACCCAGTTGGCCCAGGCAGCAAAATATCACTTTTCTCAAGTGTTCTGTCCTAACAAGAACAATCCAGTCCTTCACTCCTCATTTTTCCTGAGGTGTCTGTAAATCAGTCCTCACCTTCCTGATGTCTTATTTCTAACTGTAGGTGTTGTGATGCCTACTTCTCAACCTCTGCTTGCTGTGTCAGATTAGCTGAGATAGCCCATCTTCCCTTACAATGATTATGCACAGCAGCTGAAAGCCCTTTCTTAGCAAATGGCTGACCCACAACATACTTGTCGAGGTACTTACAAATCTTCTTAGGGGAGGAGGTGGTTTCTCTTGGAAAGCCAGTTTTACTCCGTGAGTCTGCTTGGGCTAGCATAACAAAAAGGGATGATATTTTTCATTCTTAACAAAACAGCTGGATGACACGAAGATCCCTATATGTGTGCAAAATTTGCCACATTCCGGACAGTGCAGCTGTTTTTTGCCTTTCCCAGTATTCCCTGAGCCCGATTTCTTACTGCTCCCCTCACCTACTGATTTCTTATTTCCATCTTCAAAACTGCCATACTTGGTCCTTTCTCTTGAGGCAAAGTAGGCTGATGTTTCTGAAGAAGTTCTAGGAGGAGTTCTGTGCAGAATCTTGAGTTTCAAAGGTCCAGGCCTTTAAATGTGACTACAAGAAACACTCTTTCAGAGTGAGGTGGTGTCACCCAGGTCATAGTACTATGTGGCTCATTTAAAATATCTGTCCTTTGATTTTGATCCTGTTCTATATTTGTCTTAAATGCATACCACTTATCATGTGCCTACTGTATGCTAAGCAGAAAGCTGTAATGAAAAGTGATTTCCAGTAATTCTCATGGAATGGTACACTCCTGTGCTTTGTAGTGGGTATACAAAACTTTTGCTCCCCTCCTTCTCCTTTGAGACAGGATCTTGCTATGTAGCCCAGGCTAGCCTGGAACTCATGATCCTCCTGCCTCAGCCTCCTAGTGCTGGGATTACAGGCCTGACCACCCCATCCAATTTAGTTTGGTTTTGTTCTCTTTTCTGTTAGGTCATTGTGGTCAGTGCTTGGACAACTGTTCGTTGTATTTGTGGTATTTTTTGAAGGAATGAATGCATGCATGCATGAAGAATGCTGTGGTATGCACTTCTAATTTCTATCCCCTTGTAGTACATCCCGTATGCACCAGTAGCATTTCTTACTAAGCATGCAGGAAAAAATGTATAATAATCCTCATGGTTATAAAGAAATTGACAAGCTGGGTGTGGTGGTGCATAACTGTAGTCCCTGCACTCTAGAGACTGAGGTAGGAGGGTGACAAGTTTGAGACCTGCCTGGGCTACATAGTGAGACACTGTCTCAGAAAACCAAACCAAAAAAAAAACCCAAACAACAACAAAAAGAAATAAAAATTAAAGAAGTTGCCATCAGTTGCCTTGTTTGTTCTTAATACCTTAGTGTTTGTTTGTTTGTTTTTTTGAGATTGTTTGCTTCTATTATAATGCTTATTACTACTTTGTGAGGTACCTTGATAGCTGGGACAAAATGTTTCTACCACTGTAATACCCATTGAGGTCCTTGTTCCTACAAGGAAGGAGGCCCTAAGGAATTAAATCAGGAGCTTTGTACTGAAAATAGAATGATGAAGCTTAGAAATTACACTCAACTTTTGTTTCTATGAATTTGAATTTAATATCATTTTAGAATTGGTGCTAAAGCCTTGTTTTTCCTGATGTCTTTGCTTTTCCTTTCTGTTAGTCATTAAATATGGTCACCGCTAGCTACGTTACAATTTGAACTTAATCAAAATTAAATAAATCTACAAATTCAGAGTGTCACTCACACCACATTTCTGGTGCTCAGTTACCCACATGTGGCTAATGGGTACCTTACGAGGCGGTGAAGATAGAGTGCAGAAAGCTTTATTGAACAGAGGAGCTCTGGTTATTCTGACACTTACTTGCCTAGTAGGAATTCCGTGGATGAGAGAAAAAAACCAACTTCTTAAAGCTGAAGAAGAGAGAAATTTCACACCAAGGGATTAGAAGAATGAATAAAAAGTTCACTGCATCATAAATGGTACCACATCAGAGCTCATCACCATGACATAGTTAACGTAAGGACAAAGGCATCACCTAAGCACTTAAAAAAAAAGGTAATGTACAAAAGATCTATAATCACTGACACTAGCTTTCCTAACAGCAACACTGGAAGTTAGAAAACGGACTGAGTATAAAGAGCGTTACTTAATTTGCCCTGAGATTTTTGAAGTTTTTCTTTCACTAATTATGAAGGATAAAGATGTTTGTACACATCTATCCAACAATATATGAGTAAAATTTAGTTTTTACATGTTCTCTGAAAGCCACTAGACAGTGTGTCCCACAAAAGTGTGTGTGTGGGAGTAAACCAAGAAAAGGGAAGATTCGGGATCCTGGAACCAGAAAAAAGCAGAAGGAATTCCCAAGACGTTAATGTGGTTTCAGGTCAGCCGTTGGGCAGGAGGCCTGCCATTGACTAGCAAGGACTACAACAGTAGGCAAGAAATTTCATGAGGACAGTCTGGGGTTTGGGTAGTGGAAGACAGAAGCACACAGAACTGACAGAGAGTCTGAGTTTTGGTCTTGTGAAAAAGTGAAAGGTGGTTGGAAGGTCTTAGAAGAATTATTAAAGAAAACAAAGAAAAGCAAAACAACCAAGAACTCTGGGAAAATATAAAAGTTGAGTAAGAAATTAATTTTACTGTACAGCTTGCTCAGCAGTTATCCATTCAGTGGTCAAAATAATATGTATGTATAGAGTATATATTTAGCAAAGAAAAACTATAAAATTATTGAGAAAAATGTGGAACACATTTTTAACACATGGCGATGGGAAATTAAAAAAATAAAAAAATCCAGGCTGGCAGAGTGGCTCAAGTAGTAGAGTGTCTACCTAGCAAGCATGAGGCCCTGAGTTCAAACTCCACTAAACCCCGCCACCCCCAACCAAAAAAAATCAATAATCCTCATGTGTATGTGGGCTTATTGGGTTAAATGTGGTAATGGGAATTTTTAGAAATCCTCATGTATATGTGAGACCAGTAAGTTGTATTGAAAATTGGTTTAGTGAAGGTGCTAAAGGCTTGTGATTCAGAAGGAGGCGGCTCGGGACTCACCTGTAGTTTACTTTTAAAAACTGCATGCATGTGATTACTTTGAAAAGAAGAAAAATGGTTTGGAAAATGGAATTCTGTAGGTCATACTCTGTAAAATTAGGAAATTTTAACATGCTTTACAGCAGGGTTTCACAAGCTTGGCAGTCTTGACATTTGAGTCAGATAACTCTGTTGAAAGAGCCTGTCTTGAGTCTTAGAGGATGGGCAGGCGCACCCTTGGCTTTTCTCCTAGCATTTCACCCCCAGTCCTGACAGCTAAAACATGTCTGGACACTGCTGACGTTCTGCGGGGGCACTGTCACTGCTTCTTGAGAACCACTACTGTAAAGGACTTACAAATCTGTAGTTGAATGAATCAGCAGGTGCTGTTAGATATTGACAATACAGGAAACGGCAGCTGCCTTACACAGAACTTGAACCTGGGAGCAGGAGTTCTCTGGCACTACACAACCCGTGGTGCTCATGCCAGCACCCATCTTAGACCTGGCTTTACGCCTGGTTAATTCGGGGCTCACCAAAATAAGCAATGGAATGTGGATGGAAATGCAGCTTCCCTGTCATGCTGAGTGGCATCTGCAGACATATTTTAGATTTTTCACATTGTTTTCAGGATGGTACAACTTAAATTTCTCTGGAGTTGAAATTTTAAGCATTATGGCAACTCTAGAAAAATCCCGCACCCCTTGGGTATATCCTGGTGCTCAGCTGGCTATCATACAGATGTGTCTTCTGTCCCTCCTTCTGTCTCCTGCAGTTCTTTTTACAAGTTCTTCACAAGTGTTTTCTTCTAGAATTTACAAAGCAAGTCAACAGGAAAATGGCCCCTCAGAGTTTCGTTGTAGAGGAAGACTCATAAATAATTAAGTACCTTTATTTCACAGCTGAGGAAACTCTAGTCCAGAGAGTTTCTTATCATTCATTAGGAGGAAAATGGGGCCTGTGACTGTTCTTCTTTCTTCACTCTTTTTCTTTTTTTTAAATGTAAGGTGCGTATAACACACAGTTATCTGGTCCAAAATATCAGTAGCATTGCAGAAGGATGGTAGAATGGACGGTGCAGTGGCTCGGGCAGGTGTTTCTTCAGGATTTCACAGCTGAACACTGTAAGCATCCTTTGCCAGGAGCCCCTCTCCTCTCCCAGCACTGGGTGGGGTGCAGGAGGAGGCAGGAGCAAGTCCTAAAGGGAAGGGCTCTAGTTTCCTTTGTTGCCAGGATGTCATGTGCCACTGCTGCACAGTAGTGCAGTAGACCATGGTGTGTGTGTGTGTGTGCGTGTGTTGTGTTTGTCACTGGAAGCTAGGGATAGCACATATTCTGGATTTCCTCCTCACCTTCCTGCACTCTGCTCCTGTCACTGGCCAGCTCCTCTCGGGCTTTCCTCATCATTTACTGTTGTGCCCTCTCCAGGGAAATTGTCGAGATCTGGAGTTGTCGCACCTGGGGAGGTGGTGCGTCATGTGAAGCCCAGCGTTCCTGGGCTCCCTAGGGCACACAGGATGGCCTCCACCACCAGATAACACACAGTTATCTGTCCAAAATAGCAGTAGCAACCATGTTAAGAAACCCTGCCGTCCTGCTCCCCAGCAAGCCCACAGCCCTCTAGCACTTCCTCCACACTTGTGCAAATAAACCCATCATAAATTCAAAATGTCCTAAATTGAAATGCATTGTGTATGCCTAACCTGAACACCCTAGCTTAGCCACATAGCACACTGTGCACTGGGGAGTATTTGTTACAACCCTCCCTCCCTCCCTCAGCAGTAAGGGGATTGAACCCAGGACTTCCTACCTACTAGGCACACACTCTACCACTTGAGCTACTCACCTCCAGCTCACCCAGTTTCAAGAGAGGAAGAATTGGACCAAGGGTTGATAGCCTAGGAAAAAACATCAAAATTTAGAATTCAGAGTAGGGTTTCTATGGATTCATATTTCTATACTGCTTTTGTACTATCATAAGGTCAAGAAATTGTAAGTTGAGGGTTGGGGGTATGGCTTAAATGAGAGAGCACCTGCCTAGCAAGTGCGAGGCCCCAACTTCAAATCCCAGTGCTGCCAAAAGAAATTTGTAAGTTGAACCATTGTAAGTTAGGGACTGTCTATATATTTAACTGTTTACTTGGAGGTCACATGGGCATTCCAAAGTGAACATACACAAAAGAGTCTGGAGTTCCCTTCTCCAGCCTTCCTAGGAGCCCTCCTCGCTCCCCCCACCCCACCCTCACCCACTCCATATGTGAGTCTTCTTGGTCTTACCAAATATCTTAGAACCCTTTCCTCATCTCCCAAGCTAGCCACCATTGTTTCTCTGCTGAGCAGAAGCTTCACTGTGTTTTGTTCTCCCGTGGGGGAGCCCCTGCAGGGTTTTAAAGCGGCAGGATGATCTGATTTCATTTTCTGATGACAAAGTGTCTGATGGCTGTGTACTGTGGGATGCAAAGTCTGACTCCTTCCCTGGGCTTCAAAGTCCTCAGCCTTGCCCATTCAAGGACTCCCTCCTCTCAGACAGTTCCTGGGTGAACTTCCCAGTTTGACGTTCATTATCTCGCTCAGCTTAAATTATTTTGTGAGTATGTTCACTAGCTTATTGTCCTTGCTCTTCCTTCACCAAGTCCCACAGCATTTCTGTCGTCCCCAAGGCTCAGTGTGTGGTTGTCATCGGTGAAATTTTGCTGGGTCTCCTTGACTTCTGGAAATACCTGTATTTTCACTTAGTGTGCTTCAGCATGACAGAGAAGGGCGTGCTGTTGCTAGAGTTGAGTGGATTTCTCAGCTACTGAAATTCCCTGCCAGTGGTGTGATCGCGAGCAGTCCGAGATCATGCTAAACTTTAACAGGTTGTGTGAACAGCCTCACTGTCTGCTTTAAACATGGTGTGAACTGGTGAATTCACCACTGATGGTTGCCCACCACCTTACCTGGTCATTATTTACAAACCTTCGTAATGCTGGAATATTGCAGTTATGCAGCACTCGATAGGAATATATTCTGAAAAATGTGCCCTTAGGAGATTTTGTCCTATGAACATCACAGAATGTATGTACCTTCAGTAGGACAGCTACGCTGTCATTAGGTAACATTCTTCTGGGGACACTGTCTTATACGTGGCCTGTTGCTGGCTGAAGCATCATGCAGCGAGTGAGTACACGCGCTGACTCGGGCCTGCCCCTCATGGGACCTTTCGGGCCTGCCCCTCATGGGACCTTTCAGTGTATACTTCGGGATGTGTCCATTGACATTTTCGCCTTACGGTGGTACTATCTGTTACAGGTAATTGAGGATAGAAGAGAGGCCTAAAAGTAAACCCAGAAAGGAGAAGGGATTTACCTGGATTTGCTTCTGAGTAAGTAAAACTGCAAAATTGATTTCTTATTACATAATGAATAACTTGTCAGACTCTCTGTGTTTTCTGGGCTTAAAAAATAAATGATTGTATTGGTTTTATGTACTGGAAATGGTGGTCTTTCAAGATTCCTTGTACTCAGTGATTTTGCTAGCCAAAAAACTCACCGAGACTTTTCATCAGCACTTCGTAACAAACTCCCTGGGTCTCCTGGTGGTGCTGGGGATGGAATCCAGAGACTAGCACGTGCTCCCGCCAAGCTATACCCCAACCCTACAAACTCCTTATTATTCAGCTTCTGGAAGTAGGATATGTGTGCATTTTAGAAAAGAAAAATGGAGACGGTTATCACGGTGTGCATGCTTTTGGAATTTTTGATCTTTCCCCATATAAATTTAAGGTACTTATTTTTCCTTTGAAGCCTGATTTATAAAAAAAAGAAATTAGAAAAGCAGTTGGTTTTGTCACCCATACCAGGCTCCCTTTGTCTTATATGTTCCTCTTGGAATTTGTCTGGAAACAAACTATACATGAACCGACCAAATGTTCCCATAAGCACCTTGTTTTAGCCCCACCCTGAGGCTGCTTGGCTTATGAATGACTCCTGAGAAGCATCTTTTTCAGTATGGGGGCCTGTGTGGTTTGTTAAGGGTAGAAGAGAATCGGACTCAGGTAGAAAGGGGTGGGGCTTTTTGAGGGTGACATCTTGGCTGTTGTTTGTCATGCAGTTTACAGTGGGGGCACAATTGAGAGCATCCTTTACAGGCACTTTGTACAAAAGGTCTCCATTGTTGGAATGCCTGTCCTTTGAACCTCTTTACGTCTGTACCATTTTGGAATATACAAAGATGTGTGTGAGATGTGTTTGTGTTCTTTTGGAGAAAGTGTTACAGAGGTATGCACAGGGGGCTAGTTCAGGGTGTGGTGTGGATGGGATTCATTTGTATACTGTACCAGACATTGTCATTTTTCAGTTTTATTAAGATATAATTTATGAAACAACCCATTTTAACTCTACAATTCAGTGGGTTTTAATATAGTCACAGTCGTGCCATCAAGTTTAGGGTATTTTACCACTCTCAAAAGACATTCATGTCCGTTAGTAATTATTCCCCATTGCTGCCTCCTCTGGTTCCTGGCAACCACTAATCCACTTTCTATCTCTGGATTTGTCTGTCCTGAACATTTCATAGAAACAAAATCATATACTCTGTGACTTTTTGTGTCTGGCATATTCCACTAGATGTATTGTTTGCAAAGCTTACCACATGGTTTCATGCACCAGTGCTCCATTTCTTTTTATAGCCAAATGTTACTTCCATTATGTAGGTAGATCACATTTTGTTTACTCATTCACCCAGCAGACACTCTTAGTTTTGAAGTGGTCTTCTGTGGTGCTGGCGGTTGAACATAGGTCCTCAAGCATGCTAGGCAAGTGCTCTACCATTGAACTACATCCTCAGCTCCCTTATTTTTCTTATAAGAGCCAGGGTCTTGCTCTGTTGCCCAGACTGGTCTCAAATTTGTGATTGTCTTGCCTCAGCCTCCTGAGTAGCTGGCCCTACAGGTAGGTGCACCATCATGCCTGGCTTGATTGAAGTCTTCTGCTTTGAAATACTGTTAGACTTAGAAGGCAAACGTAGTATAGTAAGTTCCCTGCCCTGCTTTCTCCCAATGACCACATCTTCCTATGGGATAGTACTGTAATATCTATGGTAGGAAATTAGACTCATCCAATACTATTGACATAAATGCATCCCCTATGTGGTTTCATGACCTTTGTGTGTATAATTGCATGGAATGCGATTGTGCATGTACATTCATGCAACCACAGCTATAAGGCAGATGCAGAACTGTTCCATCCCCACAGGAAACTCCCTCATAGCACCCCCTTCAGCTCCTGGCAGCCACCAGATACTCTATTTCTGTAGCTTTGTCTTCTCAGGAGTATTATGTTGAATGGTGTCCTGCAGTGTGCAGCTTCTTGAAACTGACTTTATGCACAGTGTAGTGGAGATCCATTTGAGTTCTTTTGTCTGTCCTTGGTGTCTTCCTGTTTTATGCAGAGTAGTACTCCATGGCACAGATGTACCAGAATCTTACCTAAAGTTTGTGAAAACTCCAACTGAAAGGACACAGTAGATTAAAACCTCCAACCAAAAACTTCCTCTTAGATGAATAAAACCCAACATAGAAACACAAGTAATAAAAAAACAAAAACAAAAACAAGGCATCATGTCTCCTCCAAAAGCCAGCAATGCCATAATAAAAGGACTTGAATGAAAGTGAAGTGGATGAAATTTCAAGCAATGAACTCAAAAGAACAATGATAAGAATGATACTGAAATTAAATATAAGCACCTGAATGAATTAAAAAAGGATACACATAAACAGCTGACTGAAATCAAAGAGAATTCAAATAAACAGCTGGATGAAATAAGGAAGACAATGCAGAATCTGAAAGAAGAATCCAGCAAAGATAAAGAAATAGTGAAAAAAAAAAGTCAAATTGAAATCTTGGAAAGGTCAATAAACATAAATAAAAAGCTCAGTTGAAAGCCTTGCTAATAGAACTGAACAAGTTGAAAATAGAGTGTCAGGGATTGAAGATAAGGTATAGGAATGAGATCAATCAGAAAAAGACAAAAAATACTAAGAAAATATGAATAAAACATGCTAGACCTCTGGAACATAATCAAAAGACAATTTTTTTGGTGGCACTGGGGTTTGAATTCAAGGGTCTCATGCTTGCTAGGCAGGCGCTCTTACTGCTTGAGCCACTCTACCAGCCCAAAAGACCAAAACTTATGAATCATGGGTATAGAAGAAGAGGAACAAACTAAAGGCATAAATAACATATTCAATAAAATAAGAGCAGAAAATGCCTCCTGTCTTGAGAAAGAGAGGGTCATCCAGTTACAGGAGGCTTTCAGAACATCAAACAGGCAAGTTCAGAGAAGAGAACCCCCTAGTCATATTATAGTTAGAACACTAAACACACAGAACAAAGAGTAAATACTGATAGCTTCAAGAGAGAAGCAACAAGTCAACATATAAAGCAGACCCATCAGAATAGCAGATTTCTCAACAGAAACTCTTAAAAGCAAAAGGATATGAAATGATACATTGCACGCCCTGAAGGAAGTAACTGTCAATCTAGATTAATGTACCCAACAAAGATAGCGTCCTTGCCCATTTTTAAGTGTACGGTTTAGTAGTATTAAGTGCATTCACATTCTTGGGCAACCATCACCACCATCCATCTCCAGAATGTCGTCCCCCCCACCCCGCCCCGCCCCGTGCTGGGGAAGGAAGCCAGAACCTCATCATACATAAATGCAACTGAGCCCCACCCCCAGCCTCCAGACCTTTGTTCATCTTCCCAAACTGAAATTGCCTCCATTGAACGGCAACTTCCCCAGAACCTGGCACCTACCATTCTACTTCCTGTGTCTAATGAATTTGACTACTTTAGGGGCATCCTATAGATACAGTCCATTTATTTGTCCTTTGGTGTCCATGTTGTAGCATATGACAGGATTTCTGTATTTTTAAAGTCTGAATAATTGATTATGTGTGAACCACATTTTGTTTATATAGTCATAAATGGACGTTAGGGTTGTTTACAAAGAATTTTAAGTTTTATTTGAATTTTCTTTTTAACCAACATGCAAAAACATAATTGTGCAAATTAATTATTAATGGGGTCTCATGTAATGTTTAAATAAGGTTAAATATACTTGTTTCCACACATTTATAATTTCTTTATGGTAAAAACTTTCAAAATTCTTCTATTTTTGAGATGTACAATTTATTGTTGTTACCTACAGTCACCTTACTGTGCAGCAGCACACCAGAACTTCTTGCTAACCATAACCTAGTATCAATCTATCAACCTCTCCCCACCCTTCCCCCTACACTCCTGGCCTATGGTAGCTAACGTCTCTGAGATCTGTTTTTTCGGATTCCTGGTGAGTGAGATCATGCAGCATTTGTCTTTCTCTGCCTGAATTACTTCATTCACTTAACCTAATGTTCTATCCATGTTGCCACAAGTGATATGATTTCAGTTTTTTGTGGCTGAATTTTATTCCATGGTGTAGATGTACCACATTGTCTTTATCCATTCATCACTTGGTAGAGACTTAGGTTGTTTCCATAGCTTGGCTACTATGAGTAATGCTACAGTGAACTGGGGGTGCTGTTGTCTCTTTGACATGCTCATTTCATTTTTTTGGATATGTACCCAGGAGTGGGATAGCTGGATTATATGGCAGTTCTATTTTCAGTGTTTTGAGGAACCTCCATGCGTTTTCCATAATGCTTGTACTATCAGCATTCCCACTTGTGTGCAAGGGGTCCCTTCTGCATCCTGGCCAGCTTGTTATCTTTACTCCATAGTAGTTATTCTTACTGAGGTGAGGTGATACCTCATTGTGGTTTAGGCCTTTATGTTTTCTTTAGAGAAAGTGTCTTAAGATCTGTTGCCCAAATTTTAGGGTGGTTATTCAAACAAAGAATCATTTTAAAGTTGGATCCATTGTGTCCAAAGTGCACCTACTCTGTAGACTTAGAGGATTGCAGGTGGTGTTCGGAGCTGTCCTTACAGACTTCCCTGTGTGCCTTTCTACAATTCTCTGCTGTTGTAGGAACTGTTCTTCTGAGGTAGGTCCTACCTGCCTTTCTGTTCCCCTCAGCTTCCAAAGGAAAGAGCAGTAGAAGAAATATTAAAAGCAGCAGCGGAGGTGTCCAGAGCCACCTCTCCCGGTGATCTCTGGCAATAAGATCCAGTCCTGCCTACCCTCCCATCCTGAGTGAGCTTTTCTTCATGACCCTCCTAATGAGAATGTAACAGGCCCCCACTGTCTCCTCAGGGGCTTTCTTCTCTCCACCCCTGGAACTTTACTTTCCTGCCAAAGTATTAACTTTGGCTCTGTGTGTATAAACCTGGGGACGGCCTACAATCAGCATGATGAGCTTTTCTCTCTCTGTGAAACAGT